GTAGCAAGCGTTCCGGTACGAAGAGCTTTTTCGCATTTTGGCCGCGCGTAAATTGGAGCGAGAGCAAAAAGCGACGAAGCGGGGGGTGGTGGGGCAAGGGAGGGAACGCTTGCCCGCAAATCCCTCGATTTTGAAAAACTCGTTCGCCCACGAACGGGGTTCCTGATTGGTGCGGCGTGGTCATCTTGATTGATAAGTGTATCAAATTTGCTTGAATAATTCCAGGAATAACTTGAGTGTGACTTGCACAATGCCGTGGAGGAAGGTTTGTGAAATTGTGCTAACCCCAGCGAAGATTTACACAGCACAGTCTAACGGCTCAACTCTACTTTAAGTTCCTCCTTATAACACAACATGAAGTACCCTTCATAAAAGGTCGAGTGAACGAACAGGGAAGGGCAAATGTACAAATGTCACGAACCGTAGAAGTCGTATAGACTAGTCAACCTCGTTTTACACAAAGAATACACATTTTCGTGCAACAGGAGTTGTGCAGGCCTGTCACAACTTTTTAATTTCTCCCACGAAACAGAAAACAGGTCTAGCCGTGGTTCTACCAATAACATACAAATATAGGCTTCAGTTTAAAGTTCAGTAGAAACCATGATGTAACATAAGTCTTTCGTCGGCGCAAATATTGTCTGTGTCGGTGTCACAATTTTGTTATTAAAGGCGTCGATGGTGATTCTAGGAGCTGTACTGGCAGTCTATTAGGTACTTAGCTCTTAAACGCATCTTCCCTGCTAGCAGAGGCTCTTATCCTGGTCATCTCTTGGATAACTTTAGCCTGTGTAACAGAAGTAATACTACCTACATAGGATACAATGTTCAATATTTTAAGATAATTGCAGTGGTTTTGAAGAAACGCCTTGCAGTGCTGATCAAGTATTGACAAGAGACGATGATAGTCATCGTCTCTTCGTATTGAACAGAGTCTTTCGATTCCTAGATAAAAAACGAAACAAAACAATGAAAACAAGATTAAGTCATAACGCAGCTAAAAATGAATTTTAACCCGGGATAGCCCGGTCAGTGGAAAAAGAAAATTAACCCCATCTGGGGCGGATGCAGGATTTTAGAGAAGGGGCCTCTAGATGGACCGCCGAAGGTGGTCCCTAGTTGGGAGTGGGGGGAGGAGGTGGAGAGCCGGGGGCATCCTTCGTCGGAATTTTTTTTTAATTTGAGGTTCTCGGAAATTAATTGGATTTCCGGCATTCTGAGGCCAAGCCAGTGCGACAGAAAACGTTGTAGCTTCATTCCATCAAGGATTGAATGCATTTATTAAGATTATTACAAGTTTATGACGTTAGCTGTTTTAATTTAGAGGGTTCGACTGAACCCCCCCCCCCCCCCCCCCCCC